AAAGAGTGAGTTGATCAGGCCCACGCAATATGGTCAGACATGCATCATCATAGCAAAACCCGACAGAGAAAACACTCAAGACAAGAGACACAACAACACATCCTAAGTTATTGCAATACATACAGGCTTTTTCCTAGAAAGTGCTATGATACCATAAAATGTAACACCCAGTGTGCACCCGGCGTATTAAACATACATATGGGAGTAGCGCAGCTAATTAAATGCAGAAGCTAACTTTTTACTTTCAATTATGACGTCATTATTATTAATCAAGTTGATTACTTAATCTTTTTACAAAACATTGCATGTATGTAAATTGCAACTAAACAACTAACTGAATAACCTCAATTAGTAAATAACTGTGTCTCTAATCACGGAACTACAACACGTAGTCCGGACGAATCCTAATAGAATATACAACTCAAAGCTACCAGCATAACTAACATCAATGTGGCATGGATAATCACCATGCTCACCAAATAAGGCAACAAAGCCCAACAGAGTCTCAAGTCATATAACAATGTAAAGACAATAGCATAATCAACACCCAATCATAGCAGTATAATCAGCATGCAACAGTCAACTAAGCTCTGGCCTCTTGTCACCCGAGGTATCAACCCCCGAGTTACCTGAACCTGAAAATATGCCCCTAACGTGGGGTGAGATCTCTAAAAAGAAATCTCAGTAACACAAAGGGTCCTCAAGGACTCTTCCGCCCCAAGCTCACTTACAAGTATAATATATGTTCAAAAAGAGTAATTTCAATGCATGTTCATGTTAAGGCATTTATAACATGACAATATAATCTCTTGCTCAACGAGCTAAATACTACAACTCATTAATCATGTGATGTATGTGAGTGCGGTTCGACTGGCCAGGGAACAGGGTAGGGCTTATACACATCTGTTACCTTCCAACAAGAGGGAGACTGCCTCATGCCTTGCACACTAGGGTGGCTCCCTGATCGTACAAGTACTAACATCACATTCATACATTACATATGCCTTGCACACCAGGGTGGCTGCCTGATCGTACAAGTACTAACATGATATTCATACATTAAATCAACAGCTATATCAACATGTCTCAGGCGTATATCAATGCATATATCATTTTCATAAAAGCATACATGCATATAAACCACCCTCCCATAGAGGTCGGTGGAACAAGCAACAGATCAATCTGAGGACACAAAAGCTTACCTCTAAGCAATCAATCCAAGCCTAAGTCCCCACTAGCTCAAGGTCACCAAAAAGCACAATCACAGTCTGTTTACACCAGAAATATCATCAATACTCATGCTCTATAATTTCATGTCAAAAGCAATACGTTTTCTCTCTCATTTTCGCTTACTGCAAGCTATTCTCAAAGCCTTAAGCATTAGACTGTGTTTACTCTTTTTAAAAATTTAATTGCAGATCATTACCGAAAATTCTAAGATTTTAATATGTTAAACTAGACATCTCCATCTTTACAACGACATATTATATGTCTCAATCGTAGTTGTATAACTCTGGTTATATTTTCCGCAATGTGACTGCTGCAAACGGAATTTCCAGCAACCAAAATGCGACTTAAAATTGACACTGCGATAAAACCACTTATCCAATGGCTAATAAATTTTACATATTTGTATCCCTATTTGTTAGATTCACATAGGTCCAAACGACACTCAATTTGGAGCTCTGTAGCTCAAGATATCGAATTTTTACTAAAACAGGTTCGTTGTAGTCCAGACCAAAATATCGGGATATTGCCAAATGAATATCGGGATATCAATATCCGAATATCATATCGGGATATCAATATCCGGATATCAATATCGGGATATTTTGCTACAGTATGCCAAAAATGCATTTTTTGAGATTTTTTCCTACAAGATTCAACTTTTACCCACAACTGAAGTCCAAGCTACCATTTTCATATATATTCATGCTTGTTTTCATCAAGGTTACTTATTCCTTTCATTTAACAAGTTAAAAATCCATTCTTTTCAAAGAAACTCAAAGAGAAAAGTTGAGGTTTATATCCAAAGTTTCAAAACAGAGGAAATAAGTGATCTTTGAAGTCTTGAAGTAACTCTAAGCTATTGACCAGATGTGCACACGAATTCAAGCTCTCAAGTTGGGTCCTTTCTTCACAAAGTTAGCTTCTTGGTGATGACAAGTAGATGTACAATGGCCCAAACCAACAAAACAATGATGAAAGCTCTCAAACTCCCCAAGTCAGAATTAGAGACACTCAAGAGTGGGTTTTTACTCTTCAAGATGTTAGCTTCCAAGGATTCAAGATGATCAAGAACAAGAAGGATGAAGAATCAATGAGAAAGGTGGTCACTTTATGGTTTTGCAAGTAGAGGGAGGCAATGGGGTGTGAAGAGGCTGATCAGCCCCAAGAGCCTCACGTAGAATCAGCAAATATGGCCTAGGGTTATGTGCCATTCACCATTTATAGTCCACTTAAGTTTAAATCCATTGTATTAGCACTAAAAGCTACACTTATCATTTTAATCCCAAACTTTGGATTCTGAACCTAGCCATTTTTCTAAGATTTGTTATATTTTTATTTTATTTTTCGCAGCACTTTGCTGGTACTCGCTTTTACATTGCCAGTATCAGTTCTGACACAAATTCTCATTATTTTGACTTAATACTTGTTATACTAGTCATATATATTATTCTAGTAATATATACACATTTTTCATAATTTTCTGGGATACTTCATCGGTACGCATTTATACTTGTGGGGCAGAATCGGTATCTGCACTTTTCGTCAAAAAAACGACTTTCAATATTATTAATCACTTACCATAATTATTTAAGCCTTCTCATAATTATTAGGGTCAATTATGGAATTATTTCCTATTTTCACATTTAATTAATTTAGATTCCTAATTTAACGGTGCGAGTTCTTACACTTAACTGTAGAGTTCTTCCGTTTCGGGCTACCGAAAAGCAGATGCATCTTGTTAGTATAGGTAGTACCAATTAATTCTTATAAGCTATCCCAAACTGTGCAGCCTCATACCTGCACAGTCTTTTGGAATCCCTCTCTTTCGGGTGTCGATTCGATTCATTCATGCATGTAACCCTTCGCTGGAAGCTTGTCAGGAGCCGCTCCTTGTCCGTGCTTCTTTGCACCGACGATCACTCTCCGCCCTCATCAGCACTCGGGATGTTACAAGGTCTTTGAGGGTTTCCATGGAGAAAAGCTTGCTTGGAGAGGAAGAAGAGAGCAACTCTAGGTGTGTATGGGGTGTTCTACGTAGAAGAAAACATAAAATGAGAGGGTAAGGGTAGTTCTTTGTAATATTAGACAGTCTCACTTATCTCAACCGGTGTTAGTTCTTTGTTTTACTAACTTAATATATTTTCTAGTAATAATCACTAATTTATTTTTAGGTTTCGGATACTTTTGTTTGTACACATTTTTACCGCGAACTATACAGTATTTACACTTTTTTCGGAAAGGGATTTAATTCAAACAATTATAATTTCCCTCTAATTATTCTATTTTAATTATTAAATAATTTCCTAAAGTCATAATTTATTATTATATTACTAAAATATCAATTTAACAATGCATGTTCTTATAGTTATACAAAAAAAATCTTAATCATTAAACTTAATTGACTGATCGACATTGTCAATGTTGCAAGTTTATAGCATTTAAATACCCATTCAGTCATGCTATAACTGTATGCTTGCGTGTGCATATTCACCCTTCACGCTACGTGGATGATTTTTTTTAGGAAAAAGTGTATATTATTTTGAAGGATACAAATTTGTATCATTTTAAGTGAGAGAAAGAGATAAATTATTGGAGAGAGAATAAGTGAGAAAATTTTTAAATGTATAGATCCTACCTCTTTGTGAGAATAAAATGATATAAGGTGTGTCATTTAAAATGACACATCTTTTTTGCTTTTATTTATTCATAATATTCTTTTTTATTTTTTTGTAAATACATAATATTCTTCATTTGTACTCATTTGAATAGCAACCAATTGGAAGTAAAGAAATTATTTAAAATGACACACCTTTTTTGCTTTTTTTTTATTCATAATATTCTTCATTTGTACTCATTTGAATGACAACCAATTGGAAGTAAAGAAATTATTCCTCCTAATACGAGTCCAATTATCACCCTGATGCAATATAAAGGCAAATATATAAGTTAAAAATCCCCATCAATACAAACAACCATCATATATAGTGCATCGGAAAGTAGTCAAAATGTCCATAAATACACACAAAGATACAAATAAATATACCCAATAGAATTGAGATCATGGTTATTAAAATCTCGATTTATCATTACGATTTTATGTTTTTATGATTTTTTTTCATTAAAAAACTTTTACGTTTTTGTGATTTTTTATTATTTTTTTACATTACAATTTTATATTTTACGATTTTTTAATCCCTTTATGATTTTACTTAAAATCTCAATTTTAATAGGCTTAATTGAAATCTATGATGGAGGGGGCCAAGTCTGATGTCATGCTCAACGGTTTAGGATACCGCGTATATGGATTAAATTGCAAGTATAAAATACTTATAAATATTGAAGTTGCTTTTGGTTTTGTTTTTTACTTTTATTTTCAATTGATATATTTTTATTGTTTAGAATTACAAAAATGGTACCTTGCTTGCACACTGTTTGGTGTTTTTAACATGTTGCGAGTGAAATGGTGAAACCAATTTTTTGTTTTGTTTTCAATATTACCTTTGCAAATTCTTAGAATTAGAAAATAAAGTAAAAATAATATTATACTTTTTGTAATCATTAATGAAAATATATATTAACTAAAAAAAATAAACCATCAATTTTTTTATTTTTCTTTACTTATATAAAATTAATGTAAATAATTTAAATTGAAGTTGAGGTCGTATTGCTATTGCGACTATCATAGCAACACTGCAATATAAAAGCAGAAGATAATGAGGAGCCATATTTTAAACTTATGAGGAAGATTTATTCATAAGGAACAATCTCAATACGTGTCTCAGTACTGTTCCTAATTATTTTTCCCCAGTTCATATCACCATACTTCAAATTAAAGCCTACTTATTTCTGAAACTCAAGTACAGCAAAATAAGAATCAAGATAGAAGGCACTGAAATGAGAAAAACCAGCAGAAATGGCGAGGTATTTAAATTGTTGTTCAGTCCTGTGCTTCCCCTTAGTATTATACATTGTCATTATGAATATGTCACCCCCAAGCAATGCTCTTGTTCTTTGACTCTCATCGGTCAACTCCGGCGCCACCGGCTCGCAAACAATCAATTTTCCGTCCACCGGAATTGCCTTATGACAATTCTCCAAGACCTGCTTGCATTCTTCATCCGTCCATCCTAAAAATACCCACTGCAAAAATAGATATATCATATATATTATGTATTAATGTTTTAAAATTTCCTATGTTAAGTTTGATGAGAGAAGGTTTAAGTAGGTTTTTTAGTACAAAACATCTTGTTGGAATATATCGACCCTCAAAAATTGGAAACTAATTAATTAGTATTATGGATGATTTATTTAAAAAAAATGTTATAAAATTATTAAATGAAAAGTTCTAGAATTTAATTCCTTCACAATTTTAAAAGTATTTAATACTTTATTATTTAAGTAATTAAAATAATTAATAAATTAATGTCATCTTTATTTCCTAAGAGCACGTGTTCATAAAATCTTATTTTTAATTATAAAAAAATAAGAAATTTAACCTTTATTAAGTTAGTTATGTTATCTATTCTAGTGAGAGATCAATGTATTCATTTACACAAAATGAGTTTAGTTAATATATAATACGTTTAATAAGATGAAAATTATTTTTCCAATTGATTCATATTGCAGTATGTTTTATTGAACTATAAACATGAAATTTAATTATAGAATTCAATTGAAATAATTCACTTTTAATAACACCAAAGACAAGCACAATCAATTTATTTACAAATATAACAATAATACTAGGCCCATATATATATATATATATAGAGGTTTACATGGAGCAATCAAATACTTGTCATATATATACTTGAAAGCATTAAATGCGTTAATCATAACCATACAAAGGATGAAAGCATTAAATGTGGAGAATCGTAACCATACATCTGTCATTGCTGTACGTAAAGTGGTTGTAGAAATGATTTTACCATATATATATATATACACACACGTATGACTTCTCATATATATATATATATATATATATATATATATATATATATATATATATATATATATATATATATATATATATATATCTTTAATAATCGAATTATAATTGAATTTATATCAATTTCCATAGATATATATTTTTATGATGCCACATCAATAGGTAATTTTAGGGGTGTTCGCGGTCTGGATTGGATCGGTTTTGGAAGCAAAAATTATCCGATCCATTCCATTCGGTTTGGTCATATAATCATCCATTCGGTTTGAATTTTTTTTCAAATATGATCCGATCCAATCTAATTTTTTTCGGTTTGGATTGAATCGGTTTTCGATTTTTTGAAAATCCTAAAATTTGTTTCATGTTTATTGTGCAAATAACATCTTTTGTATATATTGGTTTTGTAATTTTTTTTTTTGAAATACAAAAGTATCAGTAACCGATAATATAGTTTTTTTTTTTGCAATGAGGTATGAAGCTCTAAATTTTGTTGATGAGATGTGACTAGATTTTTTCTTGGGTTTATTTTATGAGTTAATGGATCTTGAGTTTAAAAAAAAAAATTGGGCTACGAATGGGGAAAGCCCAAGTAGATAGAAGAGAATTAATATATTGGATCGGTTTGGATTGGATCGATTTTCATCGACCAATCCAATTAAAATTTGCAGTTTTTTTCAATTTTCGATTTATTTGATTATCGGTTTTTCGGTTCGGTCACCACGGTTTGGATCGTCTGATAAACACCTAGACATGTGAAACCAAAAGGGTAGTTAGTAGGAAATATATGTTGAAGAACATTACTCGTTACTTGTAACACCAACTTTGCAATTATTTATTTTTGAAATATAGTTTCTCAATGTTTTCTTGAATCTTATTTCGTGAACGAATAGTTTAACGTGCGAGAGAGGCACCTTGATGAAGATAGCATCCCCGGGAGGGACAGATTCAAACGCATCTCCACCGACATGGGTTATACCTACAATATATAAGCCACAACACAAGTAGCTAGGTTAATGTTATGCTAAGAACAACAAATCAAAACCCACACATTCCAAAATGGAAGTGGCTCAAACCTGGAAACTGTGGTGCAAGAGCCACCATATCGGGAAGATCATAGTTGATGCCCTTAAGTATATTTGGGTATTTCTCCATTATCATGCGGAGAGACACACCAGAATTGCCACCAACGTCAACTAGTGTCTTCACTCCTTGGAAGCCATCGTAGAGCTCCAACATTTCCCTCATGAAGGGTACGGACATCCCATATAAGGCCTTATGAAACAAATCCACTATATCTGGCTGCTTCATGTAATATGATAACGCTGATTCTCCGTTCACCTTCACGAATGGCTCCACCGTTGGATCCTCCACTGCCTCCTCCACCAAAGGCCAAGCTCGCATCAACGCATCCTATATATATGCACATCTCAAAAACACACATACCCCACTTGAGAGTCATATATATAGATAAGAAAGTATCAATGGAGAAAACTATATATTAAAAAAAAAAAATTAACCTGATGGTGTTGGAGCACATAGTGCGCGTAGGATAGACCTTCGTTATCGGCAACAAGAGTTTTGCCGACGTCAGTGAGAAAGTATTTTCTTTCGCCAGTGCTGCTCAAGTGCTCGGCAAAAATGTCATAACTGGTGAGCAAGCGGAGGATGCGCTGGAGGTTCTCCGCGTCGCCGCCACTATGGGGGCGAATGCGGGAAAGAATCTGTGAAGCGGAGAGGGGAGTGTTGGAAGCACCTTGCCATATGGTGTCAGGAACCTTCATATTGATGACGGCAACGAGAGACATTGGGACACTCATCATGTGTGCTATTTCCAAAATGGCAAGCCTCGCTTTGTTTTGAGACCTTGTTACGGTAACCTCCTCCTTCGTCGCCATTATTTGTTACTCAAAAGGGTTATTTTGTGCTTTTAAATGTGAAGTTGAAGAAAATACAACACAAATTTATAAGCACTAAAAATACTACTGTTGATTGCCCCATTGTTGACAAAAGAACCATAAAATCAAAAACCCAACCCGTTAACTAGGCACATGGCCTAGGCCAGCCAACACCTGTGTAGTCACTAAAAATCCTGTCCAGGCTGCACTCAAGACCACAATTCTGGTGCCCCTAATTTGTAGAGACTTTTGTTTTTGGGCTAACGCGCTCGATCCTCAGTTACTAAAAAAAGAAAGCCTATCTAGACAGAATCCCGAATATGCATAGCCTTAACTGGAATGTTCAGTTTTCTCATGTCCATAGATAGCAATGGGGTAGCTGATTGTTTGGCTTCTCATGCTAGGACAGTAGGACTCAAGACAAGAATGTTCACATCTTTCAGGACCCCCCCATGTGCGTAGGCCTCTCCTTATGAGATATAGTATGGCAATCTCCTTTCCTAGATTTGTACTTTTAAATGATAGTCTTTAATTTGGGTTTAACTTTAATGGACCTTTAATACAAAACTTTTGTTATTATATCATTTAATTAATCACGGGTTTAACTTTAATGGACCTTTAATACAAAACTTTTGTTATTATATCATCTAATTAATCACGGGTTTAACTTTAATGGACCTTTAATACAAAACTTTTGTTATTATATCATATAATTAATCATGTGCTAAATTATTGAAGAAGTATTAGAAAATATATATTTGGTGGGAATCGAAATGAGATTTTCTACCCACATATTCAATCTATATTGCAATGAGCTACATTCATTGAGTGTATTACAATAACTTTAAGGCCTGTGTGATTGTGTTTTATTAAAAAAAAAAAAAACTATTTTGTAAAATAGTTAATGGAATGAGTGTTTCCTATGTTTTTATTGTTTTGAAAATTAAAAATCAAACACAAAATAGAAACAATCAAAGTGGTTCTCTAAATTTGATTCTAAAAAGTTAAAAAGTAGAAATAATATTTAGAACTAATTTTATAAAATAAGTATTATCAAACAAATTTTTTATTTTAAAAATAAAAAAATTTTAAAAATAGAATTCAAAAATACCCTAAACATGCATAAATATTTCAAGGGCAATATGTTGGTCCTGGATGAACTCAAGAGGGGTGCATTGAGTTTATTGAAAATCTTGCAATTTAAAAAACACACACAACTGCGATAAAATAAAGAGTGTTATGGACCCATATAATGGACCTATTAAGTGGTAACCAGAGGCAATCTAAGATACGGATTGATATTAACAAAGGATAGATATCCATCAAGGATACTAATCCTAATACGACAGCATAGCAAACAGGCCTAGGCCCTCATCAGAGGTACCAAAGGCCCATCCACACTACCCACAAGTAACCTCTATAAATACAAGGTAAACCCTAAAGGTACGTTACGCTCTCTCTTACTGTTATGTTGTCACTGTGCGCGCACACACACCTCATTGGCTAACGCCGTTATAGTATTCTGTGCACAGTGATCTGCTTGACTCAAGGGTATCTCATTCATAGATACCTTGGAGAGGGCACTAGATCCAAGATCGACATACCAGCCTACTGGGCTGGACATCTCTGTCTTAAGGACAGAACATTGGCGCCGTCTGTGGGGAACTTCGTCTTGGAGTTTGAAGTTCCCATCAATCTGACAAAGGATGGCAATCCAGACAAGGAGCATTAGCCAGCAACAACTACCCCGAAACCAGAACCAACCGCTTGATCCAGTCCTGGAGGAGGTAAATCAGCCTCAGAACCAGATCGGAAACAACGTGGATTATGACTATTTCCAGGTCGAGGACGACATCTCAGACACCGCGTCTACTCCAGCGAGTCGAGATAGAGGACAGAGGCGAACATGGCTCCAATAAGAAATAATCCTTCCTAGCATCCAGGGGATCTTGTTGCACGTATTGCTCAATCGGCCGATCCGGATACTCAGTTGGCTAATAATGCATTCGCTGCGATCATGGAACGAATCGCGGAATTGGAAACTCGTAATAACCTGAAACGACAATAGGACTTTCGGGCAATACGAGATGAAAATAACAGGAGAATACGAGACCTGGAGCAGCACTTAATGTAACGCCCCGTGTTAACCCGGTTTGTTAACATGTCATCGTATTAAGCCACGCTTAATTTAAAAATGCGCAATATCTTTTTCTTTTCAATTATGATGTCATTATCATTACCAACTTGATTACTTAATCATTTTCATAAAAACATCGCATGTATATATTTTGCAAAGACATCTAACTAAAATACTTAATTAATTAAATATCATAAGTTTGTCTCTAGTCACGGAGCTACAACACGTAGACCGGACAACCTAATAGATTATACAACACAAGTAAAGGTACTAACGTCAAAGCGGCGTGGACAAACCCCATGCTCACCAAATAAGGCAACAAGCCCTAACAGCAGTCTCAGCTCGATAATCATAAATGGCAGAAAATATAAACAGCATCCAAGTCCATCATGCAAGAATACAGCATAATAGCATGATAACAACATAATCTAACTCAGCTCCGGCCTCCTGCCGCTGGAGGAGTCAATCCCCGCATTACCTGAACCTGAAATATGTGCCCCAAACGTGGGGTGAGATCTCTAAACAGAAATCTCAGTAAGACAAGGGGTCCTCAAGGATCTCCCACCCCAAGCTCAATTACATTTGCAATATAAGTTCAAAGGCAGTTTAACAGTATAAGTTCTCAAAATAGTGCAATGCAGCATATAATCATGTCATGTGTGTTATAACATTTCTACTGATCAGAGAAGTGCAGGAATTCATCTAAACCCACACAGTACTAGCCATTCGCTGTACCCGCCCACAGGATCGTCCCTTTGCCTCCCGTAGGCATAACACCACATACATATCATAAGCAATTGTACTTAATAGCTCATTAGCATTTCAGAAAAACAGTACATGAAACACATCATGCATACAACCAACTCCCGATGGAAAAATGGTGGAACCAACAGTGGCTAAACCGAGGACACGAACTCGCAAGCTAACTATCCAATGCCAAGAGTCCACACAGTTCAGGGTCCACACACAGCAGTATCACAATCTGTTTTGGGACCAACAATCATATTAATAACCATAGCTCATAAGCATAAACATAAAGACTACGTTTTCCTTTAACGTTTTACGTCTTTAGGCTTCTCACAAAGCCACAAACCCTTAATCACTTGATTCTGACTTAGTTTAATTATTACGGAAGTTCAACTTCCTCAAAATAGGATCCACGAACCCATCACAGCATTTTGCATGAGCAATACCTTACTGTTCTTCGAAAACCCAGAATATCTGAATATTTGTCAGGGACATATCCGGATATCAATATCCGGATATCACAGAACCCCATATCCGGATATCACTGATCCACATATCCGGATATCAGTATCTGGATATCACAGAACACATATCAGGATATAAATATCCGGATATCCATATCCAGATATTTCGCGACAAAATACAGTTCTGCATTTTCGCGAAGATATCATCCAAAGGTTCATCTTTTACCATTACAAAACGTCCAAGGATCCATTTTTAAGGATATACAGGTTCATAAACGTGTTGGTTATCTCATTTTAACAAATTACATGCCAAGACACAACTTTAACCCATTAAACTCATGATCAAAGGTTCAACCACTTACCCAAGCTTCAAACTCAGATAAGGAAGGCTCTTGGAGCTCACTTGAAGCTCCCAAGGTTCTGACTTCACAAAGTAAACAAAAATGTAATCAAAGGTGGGTCCTTTGCGCTCAACGATCACTCCTTGGAGCACCAAGTGCCATGACAATGGCTCCACCACCTCAACAAACAAAGTCAGCCCTTACACTCTCCCCAAACAGCACCTCCAACCCAACTCCAGCTGAAACTCACCCTCTCCAAGCACTCACTCTAGTGTTTACAAGTGGAAGAGGAAGAAAATCAAAGGGAAAATGCTTCAAGGATTACAACCAATGGGAAGAAGCAATGGAACAGTAGGATGGAGAGCTGATCAGCCACCACATCTGTAAGAACCCGCACCGTTAATTAAGGTATTTAATTAATTAATCATGTGAAAATAGGAGATGATTCCATAATTGACCCTAATAATTATTAAGAGGCTTTAATAATTATGGTAAGTGATTAAGAATGCTGAAAGTCGCTTTTCGAAAGAAAAGTGCAGATACCGGTTCTGCTAGTTGGTATAAATGCGTACCGAAAAAGTATCCCGGAAAATTAATGTAAGTGCATGATAATTACTAGAATAATATGTAGGACTTGTAAAACGAGTTTCAAGTCCAAATAATGAGAACTGATGCCAGAAACTGATAGTGGCTATGAAAAGCGCGTATCGGAAAGGTGCTCAGAAAATTATAAGAAAAATATGATAATTCTTGGAAAAATGTGTAGTTTCATATTCCAAAGTTTGGGATTAAAATGCTAAGTGTAGCAATTAAAACTAATACTGTGTGTTTATTGAGTAAGTGGCTATATATACTATCTTTAAGGGCACAATGCCCTAGAAAACAGAACTCCTAAGTGGTTGCTGAGGGGCTAGTCAACTGATACTCTGTTCTTGGAGGTTCTCTTCTCCTTGAGAGGCCAAGTTCCTACCTTTTCTTTGATTTCTTCACACTTTCTCTTGGGGAAACACTTGGTGTGAGTGAGGATCATCATTGGGAGTGTGTTGGTGGTCTTGTTCTGAGTTTTGAAGTCAGTGTGAGGGAGGTTTGGTTGCTGACTTGTTGGTTTTGGGTTGAGAGAAGCTTGGTTTTGGTTTTTGGAGGTCCAAGTGGTGACCTTTTGTGTTAAAGAACCAACCTTTGTGAAGCTATTTTCGTGCATCATCCTTGAGTCAGACTTGAGGGGCTGTGTTGAGCTCCAAAAGCATCTCCATTCTGAGTTTTGAGCCTTGGTATGTTGTACGACCCTTTGATCTTGAGTTTTATGCTTAAAAATGG